GCTAACTGGATAAATGAATATTTTTACAGTATTACCTAATATTTTGTAATTTACAAAATATGTCTTCCAAGGAAATCCTATGGGATGATTCAAGGCTGCCCTAGAGCAAAGTCCAGGTTCCTACAGAGAAAACAAAACCCGGGGCTGCCACCTCCCAGCACGGCAGCAGATCCTCGGGGGCAGCTGGAGGTGGTGACGGTCACAGAACAGCTCTTGCTGACTCTCTGCAGCACATCAGATGTGCCTTCCCTGCTAAAATGGAGCGGTGGAAAGTCACCTCCCTGAGACAGGACAGAGAGGACTCTCTTAGGTCAGAGTTCCCCACCCCCTGCTGTCAGGGGCATCGTATTTTATAATCAATTTATGAGCTGACAGAAAAATCATTTTTTTTCTCAAAATTCCTACTGGAAACTCGTGCTCCTCTGACTGTTAATACTTTCCTAGTTTCTGCCCCACCAAAAAAATTTACTTTTTGCTCCTCTGATTTTATGCCACAGTGTTTTTCACTGTGTGTAGCTCCTTGCTACAGATCTCCATTATGTATTTACAGATTAGTCCTTACTATTTTCAGTAAAAAAATTACAATCTCTACTTCACTCTTACAAAATGGGCTTTACATTTATATGTCCTTTTATTTTTTTTAACTCACATCACTCACAACAAAAGAAACTAAACTTTCCTTATGCTAAAAGAGAGAGCAAAGACAAGTTTTGATTGTTTTGTGAAGTAAAATGCTCTCTAAATACTCTTATTTTTTCCAGTTAAAATGCCTCTGCAATCACTAATATAAACTTCTTTCTAGGGTTCCAGGTGCCTGTTATTGTAATATGACTTTTATATGCAGCCAAGACTGTGTTGTTAAAAAAACACCCAGCCAGAGCCAGTTTTGTCTGTGGTGTTAATTTTTTTCTCAGGTGCAGCTGTCCTACCTTTGTGGTCCATTGATGGTCAGAGCACTGTTGCCCTGGTCAGCAGACCTGGACTAGATTTCTGAGGTCCCACATTCAGCACACTACAAGAGAGGCAGTGGCTCTAAAACCTACTGAAAAGAGTGGAGGAGGGATCCCTCATCTGTATGTATTCAGGTCACAAGAACCACTAGAAAAATGTTCCCTACCTGTCTCCTCTTAGCCAGAGCTGAATTGTCAAATGGAGATATTGTTAGAGGAACCAGGGGCCACAGTGCCTGTCTGTGCCAGGCTCAGTGACAGCTGAAAAAGAATATTGGGAGGTCTGCTAGAAAAAAAAGAGGGATCTTGGACAGACTCTCCCTTCCTCTCCCCTTTCCCTCTGTTTGTTGCCTCACAAAGAAGTGACCTTTTAAAATCTCTTATCTGGAAGCTTCAGTTTAAAGAGCTGCTGACGCCTCTTGGAAAACACTGAAAAGCTCCTCTGAAACAGGGAGCTGCTGCTCCGTGTCCTGGGTGCCTTTCTTCCCCTCTTCCTTTCATTGCTGGCTGCATTTACATTAGAAAAGGCTGTTCCTCTGCGGCTTCCCCGAAGTCCCAGCCTGACTTACAGCAGGAGTGAATTGCTGCTGTGGCAGCCCAACCTCTCACAGCACCTTCTGAGTGGGTAGGAGGTGACCAGGGGAGATGTCCCTTGGCAGGACACACTTTGCAACTGAGGATGGAAGAGCTGAGTGGGTTTTATGCTCTTGGTGCTGTCAGGATCAGGGCAGAGTAAGTTTGAGAGAAGACTGTGCCTTGCCAAGACCCTTCTGGTGTCACCTGTAAATCTGAAGTTTCCCAGCCTCTAGAGATTGAGTCCTCGAAGAACTCACTCTGAAGCTGAGTAACTCTGGACCTTTGGCCAAGGTCAGACTTCTGTGGATTTCCAGTCTGACAAAACAAATTGTCTGAGACAGCCTTTATCCTGCCCAGTCTGAAGGGAAGGGTTATGTGTCTTCTCCCTGCCTATGAGGGAGAAATATTAATCCAGTTATTTAATACATTTTAGGGCCACAGGAAATCAGTGCCTCTCCTTGTCTCACCGGGCTTGTTGCAGAAACCAGCCTGTCTGAATGACTGCTGGAATCACAATGGATATCCCAGGCTGTTTCATTCCTGCTGATACCCAGTTGTTGATGTTGGCCAAATAAAGGCCAAACGCAGGCTGGCTTGTACTAGCAAGGCTAAAAAAAAAAGGCAAGATAACTGTTCTATTTTTGGCATTTTTGAGATCTCATTTGGAGCACCATATCCCATCTGGGCATCTTCAGTGCATCAAGAGTGCAGCCTGAGTGCAGTGTGTACCCGTCCTTCCACTTCTCGTGCGATGTTTGAAGCTCCTGGGGTAACCATGGCCACCACGACACGTTTCATCTCACTTATACTTTTCCTCTTCTTCTTTTTAATCACAGAGCCCATCTGTAGAGCTGCTTAAAAAGCATGGACCAGATAAAGCCAGGACAAGTGCCAGGACAAGGCACTCAGGGAAGGAGGCTGAGAGGCTGCTGTTGGAAGGTTGCTGCTGCTGCTGCTGTGGTGGGCAGTGCCACAGCTCTCTGCCTGGGGATCCTGCTGGGTGAGTGTGCAGCTGGGTACGTTCTTTCAGTTTATCAGCTCCAAAAGAGAAGTGCTCTGCACTGTTCATAGCAAAAATCCTCAAAATCCTCCCGCTGAAGACAAAATGCGCTCAAGTTCCTGCATGTACACACACAGACAAGAGCTGTAGTCAACTCATGTTCTCAATATGTGACTTTGGAGCACTTCATCTTCAGTGTCTCATGACATGTATGCTCTATTCCTGTCCTGCTTGACCAGCCTGATCTCCTTCTATGACAAGGTGACCCACCTAGTAGATGAGGGAAAGGCTGTGAATGTAGTGTACCCCAACTTCAGTAAAGCCTTCTGCACTGTTTCCCACCACACTCTCCTGGAGAAACTGGCTGCTCGTGGCTTGCTCAGGTGCACTCTTCAATGGGTAAAAACTGTCTGGCTGGTGGTGAATGGAGTTACATCCAGCTGGGGGCTGGTGACCAGTGGTGTTCCCCAGAGCCACTCTGGAGCCAGCCCTGTTTTATATCTTTATCAATTATCTTGATGAGGGGATCGAGGGCACCCTCAGTCAGTTCACAGGTGACACCAAGCTGGATGGGAGTGTTGATTTGCTGGAGGGCAGGAAGGCTCCAGAGAGGCAACTGGGCAGGCTGGATTGATGGGCCAAGGCCAATGGTGTGAGGGTCAACAAGGCAAAGTGCCAGGTCCTGCCAGAAAACTGCCTGGTGGAGAAGGGCCTGGGGGTGCTGGTTGACAGTGACTGAACATGAGCCAGGTGTGCCCAGGTGGCCAAGAATGCCACTGGCATCTGGCTTGTACCAGCCACAGTGTGTCCAGCAGGACCAGGGCAGTGACTGTCCCCTGTGCTGGCACTGCTGAGGCACCACCTCAAATCCCGGGGTCAGTTTTTGGTCCCTCATGACAAGACATTGAGGGGCTGGAGAGTGTCCAGGGAAGGGAACGGAGCTGGGGAAGGGTCTGGAGCACAAGGCTGAGGGAGGTGAGGGAGCTGAGGGAGCTCAGCCTGGAGAAAAGGGGGCTCAGGGGGAACCTGCTCACTCTCCACAACTCCCTGACAGGAATGTGCAGCCAGGTAGGGGTTGGGCTCTGCTCCCAGGAAACAAGGGACAGGACCAGAGGAGATGATCTCAAGTTGCACCAGATTGTATATTAGGGAAAACCCCTTCACTGAAAGGGTTATCCAGCCCTGGCACAGGTTGCCCAGGGTGGAGTCACCATCCCCGTGGGGATTTAAAAGGTGTAGATGTGGCACTTGGGGACATGGTTTAGTGGTGGGCTTGGCAGTGCTGGTGGAATGATTGGACTCCATGATCTCAGAGGCCTTTTCCAACCTAAATGATTCCATGATTCAATGATTCTATCCTCTAATCTCTCTCTGTGACTCCCAAATTTCCTGTCACTGTACCTCACCACCCCTGCCATCACCTGTCACAACCTCTTGCAGCCACTGACCATTGCCTGTTTTACTGTCCAACTCCAGAGCACAACCACCATCTCCTTGCCTCTCCCACCTCCCTCCTGCTGCTTCTGGTGTCCCATGGCAGATGCCACCTGAGGCCAGCACCCCAGAAAGGACTGACAGATCCCACCTGGACAGTCCTTTCTGAGCTGGCTTCAGTACCCAGCAAACCTTTCCCCAGCCTGTTTCTGCAAGGACAGGGCCAATCTGGGATTGCCAGGCTGTACCCATCTGTTCATGAACTTCTGTTTCAGGCTTGACAAAAATCCACCATTTTCAAGTTCAAACCAGTTCAGTGCCAAATGCTATTCCTGCAGGTGTGCAGGGTGTCCCAGGGTGGTCGTGGGGCACCCCCGAGGCAGCCGGGGTGGTCAGAGACAGTCACGCTGCCAAAATAGGGGGTTTAAAGGGCATGATGAGATCCATGCTCCAAAGCAGTGAGGAAAGCTGCCTCTGACAGACACTGTCCCTCTCTGGCAGCCTGCTATCCCCCGGGAGAGACCAGCTTTGAGCACACAGTGGAGCTGCAAGGAATCATCTTCAACAGCAGCTTAAAGACGGAGAACTCAGAGTACTACAGGGTGCTGACACCTGCTCTTGAGAGGCTGGTGAGTTGATCTGGGCTTTCCAAGAAAATACTTGGGAAATACCGTGGTGGTTCACCAGGGCCAAGCTTGAGTGTCCTCATTCAGCAGGATCTGGATGCCAAGGGCAGGAGGGAAACTAGGACTTCTTAAACATCAGCAGGGTACACTGTGGGACTGAGCTGCACTTTGAGAGGCCCTGTCAGGGCCCTGAGAGGCATTTGTGGTGGGGGAGGTGTGTGCTCACACCTGCTCCTTGAAAAAGAGGTAGGAAAGCATAAAAAGGGGATGTACTGCCTCATGCCCTGAGCCAGGGTGGGAAAAGGGTTAGACATGAGCTGGACGTGGCTGCTTCTGCTGCCTTGCAGAGGCAAGAGAAGATCCTTCAACAGCTCCAGCTGCCTGCAAAATCCCAGGCATAATCTAGTCCCACCTCCCTGGGGTCTTCTGTGCAGTAAGTGTGTGACCATCACTCTTTGCTTTGCAGTTTCTGTCCAGTCTGCAGGACTCCCAGCTGGACTGGAGCTGCACTGGTTGCACTATCCTGGGCTATAGGTGAGTGTAGGCAGCTGCCTCTGCAGACTCTGCAGCTCATGTTTCAGGGCATCCTGACAGGCCTTACCAAGAAGGTGAGCTCACACCTGTGCTGTTGTTCAAAACCAGTACAAAGAGAAACTGGTTTTTGATCAAGGCCGGATTTTCTTCTGGGATTGCAGCAGTGTTCTGGATTCTTTCATTTGGAAGCACAGTCAGAAAGGCAGAGGGAAATGGCTTGTTCAACCACAGCTTTGGGCCAAAAAAACCCACAAATGACCATTTCAACCCAGAGAACATCTCCAGGAAAACCTTAAATTATTAAGAATCACATTATTAAGAGTCAGTTTTGTTTCCCTTCAGTTCCCTGTAGGCAGGGAGCACAGGAGCCTGTGCTGATTGTGGAGAATTAATGTCCCCATTAATTCCCTGTCTCCCAGCAGGAATGGAAACTCGAGCGTGATCGTCCATTTCCGCCTCTTCTTCGCCCCCCAGGACTCCCAGCCCCTGAGCTCCACCTTGGAGGAGGAGGCTCTGAGGCACGGGCTGGCAGCTGCCCTGCGCAGGCAGGGTCTGTCCCTGGCTGCCTACGGGACCATCTCCTCAGCTTCTCTCACAGGTACAGCCCTCCCACCACTGCCAGGCAGGCAGAGCAGGGTGCCCAGTGCTGGGGCTGCTGCCACCCAAGGTCACACAGCAAAGCCACCATCTGTGTCTCAGAGAGCCAAACTGTTGCAGGGCTTCAGCTCTGGATGTGCAGTCAAGGCTTCGTGCCCAGCAGCAATTCTGGAAATGGGGGTGCTGCCAGGCACCCAACAAAACAATGGAATGCCCTGCCTGGCTCCCAGCTTCACTGCACAGCAGCAGAGACCAGCCTAGGTCTTGCCTGCTGCTCAACAAACATTTGTGGGGTACCCAGATACCTCTCCAGCACTAATGCTGTCCTGCTGCTCTGCCCTGCAAGAGCAGCTTGAGGGGCTCACAGCAACTACAGAGCCTAAAGTATAAATTGCAGTTTCTTTGGCTTTTCCTGCAGCACCCAGAACCAGCCTAAGGGACAGGGGATTGAGCTCTGGGAGGCTAATTGCTGAGCTGTCTGTACCTGCAAGTGCACAGCAGTCCTTAGGCAGCCCTCGGAGTTGTAGCAATAATTACAGCTTAGGTAGATATTTCTCATATTTGAATTATTTTCTGAAACCACCTGACAAAAATTTCTCCTTTCCTTCAGTGACTGTGGAGTTGCCTGTGACTGTAGGACTTCAGGTCCAGCAGATTTAAAAAAACATGTGCCTGGGAAACATGAAGGTGTGGGCTCCTCTGCAGCTCCCTCTGCCACAATGGGCAGGATCCCTGGATCTTCAGGAGCCTTGTGCAGCCCAGGTGGAGGGTGCACAGACTCCCCTTGGCTTTAGGCAACAGTCCTGCATAGGTTCAGACCCAGAGTCTGCTCCTAGGAGGCAGCTCACTGCTTTTGGGAATTCATCCCTGTACTTGGAGTCACCCAAAGCCCACAGAGCTGTAGGTGGCTGCTCCTCCCCTGTTCCATGGCTGAGCAGGGTTCCCCAGCAGGGGCCCAGGCCAGGAGCTCACACTGGCCATGGGGCAGGGAAAGGCAGGAGAAGATGATGCAGCAAAGCCTGCAGCAGCCCCAGTCTGGGAACAGCACAGTCCCCAGAGCTCCTGGATGGGCTGCCCTTTTTGATTCCTATTCCTTCTGCTTTGTCACAGGTCCCAGCAAGGTTTCTCCCCACAGATCTGGACTGAAATCAGGTAAGAGCCAGGCAGCAGGAAGAGCAACCTGCACTCTGCAGCCTCCTCCTCACCAGCAGCCTGGATGCAGAAATCTTGTTCATAACCTGGTGGCCCAGGGCCCTGCAAGCTCAGCAAGAGCTGCAGCTCTGCTCCTGGCACCATCCCAGAGGGACTCCGGCCCTGCCAGGGAGCAGAGTGATGATGACATTGCCCCATGGTGGATGCCCCTGGGGAAGCCAGGGCAGAGCTGCTGGGTGGGCTGCAGAAGACAGGAATGACTCAAGCCTTGCTGTCCCCAGGGAGCTGCCCTGGAGACACAGTCACCTGCTGCAACACCCAGTGCATGTGGAAAGAACTGTGACAGGCAGGCAGGGTGTGCTGATGGCTCTGAGGGAAGGGGCTGTGGTGAGTCTCACAGCAGGTCTCCAGGACAGTGGGGGACAGGCCACAGTGCACTGCTGCAGACTGTGACAGGTGTGACACCACTGGCTTCCAGGCACTGAGGAGAGTCAAGGACACAGGATGACTTTTCAAGCCAATACAAGATGCCTGTGTGAGGATGAGGGGAGCTGGGCCCTGAGAAACACCTTGGTCCCACCACCAGCTGTGATAAGGGACACCTTCCTGGTGGCCTGGCATGATGGACGAGAGCCACATGGGCCACATGATGGACAACACCCATGAGCTGCTGGGAGCACATCATGAGGCAGTGGATGAGACTGTCAAACTAGTCAAGATGCTTCTCCCCAGAATTTCTCGCTCTAGAAGAGTTTCAGGGAGGATGCTGTGATGGGCCAGTGCTTTGCAGTGCTCTTTCCAAGCCTGGCCTGTGACATCCCAGGCACTGTCCTGTTGTTTGAGCATGTGCTGGGAGCACGCATGAAGCTGAAGCAGCTTCTCCCACTTGCCCCCAGGTCCGTGGTGCTGGGGCACAGAGGCAGGATCCTGATGCACTGGCTCTCTCATCCCTTTCAGACTGTGGGAGCCGCCCTGCCATGCAGACTGCCAGCAGGATAGTTGGAGGTTCAGAGGCATCCAGAGGGGAGTTCCCCTGGCAAGTCAGCCTGCGAGAGAACAACGAGCACTTCTGTGGGGCTGCAATCCTCACGGAGAAGTGGCTGGTGTCTGCTGCTCATTGCTTTACTGAGTAAGTTCTAGTCACACTATCTCCCTCCCTCCCTCTCCTTTCCAAACCTGCCATCTCTGCCCCACACTGCCCCATCATGCCTGGTTTCCCTCACGGGGAGTATGGGGAGTTTCCATACAGTGGATGGCAGGATGGGCAGGAGGCAGCTGGGGTCTGCAGGACAGTGCTGTGTCTGCAGGCTCACCCAGTCCCTGCCGTGTCTCCTCCAGGTTTCAGGACCCAGCCATGTGGGCAGCTTACACAGGGACCACCTCCCTCAGAGGCTCCGACAGCAGCGCGGTGAAAATGGACATTGCACAGATCATCCCACACCCCTCCTACAACGCCGACACAGCTGACTATGATGTGGCTGTGCTGGAGCTCAAGAGACCTGTCACCTTCACCAAGTACATCCAGCCCGTGTGCCTGCCAGACGCAGGCCATCACTTCCCAGCCAGCAAGAAGTGCCTCATCTCTGGCTGGGGCTACCTCAAGGAGGATTTCTGTAAGCAAAGCGGGGCAGGGAGCAGAGGAGACACGGCGGGGTGTGAGTGGGGCAGGAGGCCCCGGGGAGGGGAACTCAGGGCAGCTGGGATGGCTGTACCTGGGGCTGCTGGTCCCCTGCAGGGCTCCCTGAGCTGAGCTCACAGTCGGGTCTTTCTCGTTCAGTGGTGAAACCCGAGTTCCTGCAGAAAGCAACAGTGGAGCTGCTGGACCAGAACCTGTGCTCCAGCCTCTACAGCCACGTCCTCACGGACAGGATGATGTGTGCTGGCTACCTGGAGGGGAAGGTTGACTCCTGCCAGGTAAGCTTTGCTCAGGGAAGCTGGCACAGCTCCCCACACGAGTCTTTTCCTCTCAGTATGCACCAAGGGACACTTCAAGAAGCAGATCTGACACTGTGGTCATGGTTCCCCCCTGAGGTTTGAGGCTGTGCCTTGGACCCAAGCTCAGGGACTGCAGAAGACACAAATGAGGGTGTTCTCTAGTGCTTAGAGGAGGGCACTGCTGCTTAATCTTTTGGATAATTAACTATTTTTCTCTACTTCCCGAGCTGTAATCAGGGCTGGCCCTACCAATGTACCAGGCAGGTCCTTGGGTCACAGTCCAGATGGCGAAGGGCAGCACTGGAAACTAAAATATACACAACAGTTTTTGGTGAACAACAGAGTGTTTTCTTTAGTTAGCCTTTATCCAGCCTGGAACTGCAAGTGGGGACCTGGAGACAGCCCTGCCTTTCACAGTGGAGAGAGGAGAACTGTGATGTGGGAGGAGGGCTGTGATTTCCAGAGCTGTCCCTGTGGCTTGGCAGAGCTATTCAAACCTGCAGCCACCAGCTGAGCAAAACTGCACTGCTCTGGTGGTAGTGCTTCTTATTTCTGGACCAAATACAACACAAACACCAGAGAAGGGGCCTACAATGGAAGATCCAAGGATGGATGAGCAACATGACCCATCTGGTTATTCATTATTGATCTAGAGCAGTGTCACCCCCAGGAGGCACTGCCAGCTTCACAGACACCACATGTCCATCAGTGACACTCTCAGGGCCCCACAATAACAAAGAATTGACCATGAACCATAGGCCAAATCAAGAAAAGCTCATGCAAAGATCAGCATGGTCACCCTGGGCTGTGTATCAGGCAATGAACACCCATCATCTGTCTGTGTACGGGCTGCTGGGCTTGACCTTTAAGAGCAACAATTTAATGAATGATTAAAGCACTAGAAATGCTAAACCCTTTATTTTATAGAGGATGTCCCTGTGCTCTTCTGGCATATCAATGGCACAAGGCTACTACTTAATAGAAGGACAGTGTGCCCACATGGAGGAGCAGCCAAAGGCCAGCACAGGAGATGCTCCAGTCATCACTAGGTTGGAGCAAATATGAAGTGAGCTGAGATACAGAGGGACAGAGAGACCCCAGAGGGATGCTGAAGGTGGCCAGGGAGAGCTCAGTGCATCCCCAGGGAGAGCTCACCATCTGGCTTCTCTTGCAGGGTGACTCTGGTGGGCCCTTGGTTTGCCAAGAACCATCTGGCAGGTTTTTCCTGGCGGGAATCGTGAGTTGGGGGATTGGATGTGCTGAAGCCAGGAGGCCTGGGGTTTACACACGTGTTACCAAACTCAGAGACTGGATCTTGGATGCTATTTCTGCCTTCCCCAGCTCCACAGCCCACATTGTCCCTCTGATACACTCCAGTACCAACAGTAATGTGGTCAGTGCTGAAGAGCTCAACACCATCAGAGGAACCTCCACCACCTCACCAGCCCCAGCTGCCAGCAGGCCAGTGACTGCAGGGAGACCACAAGGTATGAGCACCCATGAGTGGTGCACCTTGGCAGGAAGAGTGGCAGATACAGCTCCAAATGCCAGGTTCCTTCTTTTGCTGAGCTGAGCTGACTTTCTGTAGGGTGAGCCCCACAACCCTTGCCTAAGGACTAAGGCCAAGGCACATGTGACACTGTGTGGCTGTCCCAGCTCAGACAAGAGCAGCCTGGCAAAGTCACTCAGTACCTGTGCAGTTCCATGCAGTTCCTTTGCTTGTGTGACTGACTGTGCAATCTCATCTGAGTGACTCGTCTGCTCCAGCAGGTCCAGGGCAGGGCACTAAGGCACAGCAGTGTCTGAAAGTATTTTCCTGTTGACCACTGACTTTTGTTTGCCACCTGTGGATCTCCCCACAGCTCAAAGTTTGTGGCTGCACCTTCACAGCAGACACAGATCTCCTCCCTGAAGGGAAGGAGGGCAGGTGTCTGTAGGATGACCTGTCTGCTCCAAGAGCCCCCAGCAGCTCTGCAGGGAGATGCAGATGTAAGGTATTTTTCTACATTTAGGATTAAGGTTTTATCTGTAATGGCAAGGCTAAGAGGCACAGAGCTGTTGATTACTCTGCCTTTGAGAAAGGCCCAGGATTGAGGATTTGCCAAGAGCAAGATGCAGAACAGCAGTTAGTGTGAAAGCCCAGGTGAAAACAGCCACCATCAGGCCCTGCCATGATCAGCAGACAGGGCTTGGGTAGATCCTCACACCTCAACCCTGACCTGTCCCTGCTCAGACTTACTGGTTAGAGACAGCAAAAGTCTCTCCTTGCTTGTCTCCTGCTAGGAGTACTCACAAGTCATGCTTTGACTTTGTTCAGAGTGTGGAGGACGACCTGGGTTCTCTAAACCCAGCAAGATCGTGGGAGGAACAGATGCTTCCAGAGGAGAGATCCCCTGGCAAGTCAGCCTAAAAGAGGACTCGAGGCACTTCTGTGGAGCCACCATCATCGGGGACCGCTGGCTGCTGTCGGCAGCTCACTGCTTCAACGAGTGAGAGCCCATCCCTGCCCTTCCCCACAGAGCTGTGCTGCCAAAACCACAGCGTGGCACTGGAGCCACAAAACAAGACATTAATTTTTGCTATAACCAGAGATTCACAGTAAAGGGGGTTTTGTGGGGAGGTTGGGATGACGCAGAGAGGGGTTACCTATCAGTGGAGAGGCACGAACATAATGCTCACAGACCATTATGGTTGGCAAAATGTCAGCTTTATTAGAAGAAAGGCAGTTTATGTACTGGTCATGAAGCTTAGTTCTTGTTCACACTACATTGGATACATAAGGAAAACATACTTTGCTGTCCACTGCTAATTGGATCACAACAGGTGGTCATAGGAGATGAGAAAACTTTATTCACCTGCCAAAACTCCTCCTTGGCATGTGGCATGAATCCACCTTTGTTCTAACTTAGCTCTTGTAGCCATTTTAGTGGTGTAGTATTTTTTACTGTCTGCACCCAGCCATGGCAAGGCAAAAGTCTCAGAAATGCAATAGAAATTGTTCACACAATTTCTGTCCTCTGACAGTTACCCCAGCTTGGGCAGGGAGCAAGGACAACACATCTAAGAGGGGGTGGAAAAGGACAGATGCCACGAGAGTTTCTTTAATAAATTTAACCTTAAAAATTGTCTGTAATATACAAAATAGAGACACGTGGTCAGCTGGTAAAGGGAAAATGGTGTGTTCTGTTCTGCAAGAGCCTAAGCCCAGATTTGTAAGGAGCCCAGATAAAGAAATGAGTAGCAAGAGGATAACGTTTGTCAGGAATAAATTCCTGAAGGCAGAAAGGGTGGGGAACTAACTGAGAAGGATTTCAAGACAATCTCATGCATTTAACAGCTGGGCAATAAAGCAGTGAGTGAAATGTAAGGTGTGAAACGAGGCACACAGCAAAACCAGCAGTGCTGTCTGTCTGTGGACAGGGGTGGGTCTCCATCAGCTATCTCCATCCATCTCCATCTGAGTGTTGCCATTCAAAACAAGAGGTCAGAAACATTCAGATATTGCCCTGAGAGCAGCAGTGCTGTGGGCAGGGGTGGTTAAAGAGCACAGGAATGCAGTAACAGTTCGAAGAACGAGGGAGATGAGCAGGATGTTGGTGGTAATCCACAGCACACCAACCTCCACACAGGGCTGGAGTAACACTGTGTGAAGGTGAACACAAGGCTCGGGGATGAGCTGGGTGTGGAACAGCACCATAACCAGCAAGACACAGTAGATCAGACTAGACCTGGGAAAAAAAACAACTGGTGGGAAGGGAAAGTGTGATGGGACTGTGCAATGATGAAGGGTACAATTAGGGGATGCCCTTTGACTCTTTTTTTAAGAGTCAAACCCACCAAAAGCAGGTGGAAAACAATCAAAAGGAAGCAGTTCTTAATAAATGTCATTAAGATGAATATTTGAAATTCACATAGGGTGAAAAAAAAAGAATAAAACACAACTTTAGAAAAATCCAAATAAAACCCCAAAATCCATCAAGACCTACTGAATACAGAGACACAACCTGTGTACCAGAACAGTCCTGAAATCATAAATTTCTGGAGGTAAGGAGAGGATTATTACTACACGTTCATTTGCTTTCAGGAGATATCCAACAGCTGCCGCTGCTGGCAACTGTTCTTTGGGCCTGACTTAGTAGGGCTGCTCTGCTGTGTGCTGATCATGTAAAACTGTCTGCAATCATCTGTGTGTGAGCATGCATGTTTAGAATTACGTGTTTGCAGGACAAATCCAGAAGAGATTGAAGCCTACATGGGAACAACATCACTAAATGGAACAGACGAGAATGCAGTGAAAGTCAATGTAACAAGAGTGATCCCACACCCCCTCTTCAGCCCCATGATTCTGGACTTTGATGTGGCTGTACTGGAGCTGGCAAGACCTCTTGTCTTCAACAAATACATCCAGCCTGTGTGCCTCCCACCTGCTGTGCAGAAGTTTCCTGTTGGCAAGAAATGCCTCATTTCTGGGTGGGGAGACCTCCAGGAAGGGAATGGTAAGCAGTGATGCTGATGTGCCCTGGGGCAGTGACACCCTGAGCAGCAAAGCCTGTGCCACTGTGACCCACAGTCCAGGACAGGGGACAGCAACGGGGACAGTCAGGAACTGACAGAAACACAAGAATAAGCGAAAACAAAGGCACACAGAGCATTGCCTTAAACCACAGTTATTTAGGAGTCACCAGCAAACATGAAAATTGAGAGAGCAGCTTGGTGGGAACCAGGAGAAACCTGCTGGGCTCCTCTCAGTAGCTCTACCATGCCAAGCAAGAGTCAGGCACTGGCTCAGGGCCTGCTGCAGCTCTGGCAGGACGGAATGTCAGCCACAGCAGCCACGCTCAGTCACAGAGATGTTCCAAGCAATTGGAAAAAGCAAAGATCCCACTGCAGGGAGAAGGCCTGAGAGTGGCACATGTGCTACCAAAGAAGCCCAGCTGACCAGGAACCCACAAGCTGTCAGGACCACGGGACACAGCTGGGTGCAGGATCCTTAGCACAGACACAGAACTGCACCCTGGGGTGCAGCTTCAGGGTTGCTGAGAAAATAGGTCCTCTAGGACTCAATTCTCATGTGGGATTAGAGCCTGTTTTCCCAAAATTTGTGTTGTCAGTCTAAAATCCATTAGTTCCCACTTTCCTCTGCTGCACTCACTAATCCCATGTTTTTCATGCAGCCACCAAGCCCGAGATCCTGCAGAAAGCCTCTGTGGCCATCATAGACCAGAACACCTGCGACTTCCTCTACAACTTCTCCCTCACTGACCGAATGATCTGTGCTGGCTTCCTGGAGGGGATGGTAGACTCATGCCAGGTAAGAGTGTGGGATTTCTCTACTGTGTGGACTGTTCAGAAAGCTGGGCTAACTCTGCCTTCAGCAGATCCTTGTGAAATATTTACTGAGGCTGCTGTGGCTGAGCTGTGCAATTCATATACACCTTAGGACAAAAAACCCAGCGCGCTACCTTGGAGATTTAGAAAACTGTATAAAGCTCCACCAAGTTGAGAACGACTTAAACCAACATCCCACTGCTCTGTCTGGCCAGATGAATGCTGGATGAAGCAGGTCTCCTCCAGTGGCAGTGAGACCTGGGCAGTTGGTGGTGGCTGTGCTGACAGGAGCTATGAACTTTCAGGACAAATGCCACTCGTATCTGTGCAGCCAGGTTGAGCCACTGACCCCACCTTCAGTGTCTGACTCGTGCCTTGCACACACACTGCATGGCAGCAGACAGACCCAAGGCTGAAGAAAGAAGAGTTGGGGGTAGCTAAATGCTCCTGGTGTGGCTGAGGGGCAGCTCCTTGTAGACCTGTCTGGGGGAGACTGTACTGAGCAGCCATTGCCTTGCTTCTTCTGCAGGGAGATTCAGGTGGGCCCTTGGCCTGTGAGGTGACCCCAGGAGTGTTTTACCTGGCTGGCATTGTGAGCTGGGGATATGGTTGTGCCCAGGCTATGAAACCTGGTGTGTACTCCAGAATTACCAAACTCACAGACTGGATCCTGGACACCATCTCACAGTTGCCCAGTCCTGGCACAGGCATTCCTTCCAGTTCAGCCATCACCAGAACTTCCAGCACAGCCATCTTCACCCAGCCCAGCACAACAGCTGCAAGTCCAACCAGCAGAACCACCCTGGGAACGAAGATGAGCACAAACACGAGTGAAAACTCTGAAGATCTGAGAACAACCAAACCTGCCAAGCCCACCCAAGCCCCAGGTAACACTGATGACAGATGTACTGACATGTTGGTAGGAGGCCTCCATCACAGGGAGTACTGAGCAGGCCATGGGTTATTCCCTTCCAGTGGTGCCTTGTACCAGCTTCACCTTCAAGTGTTCCAGCAAGGTGTGTATTGGAAAAGAGAATCCTGAATGTGATGGTGTTGTGGACTGCAGCAACGGCTTCGACGAGCGCAACTGCGGTGAGTCCTGCTCTGCAGCCTGTGGCTGCTGCCAGCCATGGTCTGCACGGCCCAGACTCCCCAGTGCAACCCATCACACTCACACTGGCTGTCCTGGGCCCCACACTGGACGCTGGGGGCCTGGGCCAGCCCACTGTAGTCCAGGTCCTCCTTATTCTGCCAGAATCTAAACCAAGATAAAGCTGGATGAGCAGGGTCTAAATTTTCTGCCAGAAGATGTGGCCTCTTTTCCTCTGCTACAAGTATTAGAAACCATTTCCAGCACACCAGCCAGTCAGTCTGGTAGCACAAAGGTGGCAAGACAACTCTGCACAACATGGCAGCCCAGAAAATGTCTTGTCATCCCTGGGACTGCTCCTTGGTCTGCACATTCCTTGCTGTGTGACAGCTCAGCCAGTCCATCCAAACGTTCCCTCCTCACATACCACAGCCCTGGAAGGTGTGATCTGTGATAACAATTTCACAAACCATACCCCGTCTGCCAAGCCTTGCTTCAGCTGGGTGAATGGAATTCATCACATCCTGCTGCCCCACAAGGCTGTCCCACGGCAGGGGCTGTGGAAGGCAGGCACACACCCCTTTCCACTTATGTTTATTTAAAACCACGGTGCTTCTTCCTCTGTCCCAGACTGTGGCCAAACAACTGCTCTGGCCTTCAGCAAGATCGTGGGTGGCAGCGGCGCAGCTCGAGGGGAGTGGCCCTGGCAAGTCAGTCTGTGGCTTCGGCGGAAGGAGCACAAGTGCGGGGCTGTCCTCATTGCTGACCGCTGGCTGCTCTCTGCAGCCCACTGCTTCGACATGTAAGTCTGAGGTGGGCTAATGAAGCCAGCTGGCTCTTGGCCCCAGTCCCAGCAGCCCACCTGCCTTACCCTCCCTCACGGTCCAGCACCGTGGCTGGGATGCTGTGCCCCGTGAGAGGCACACGGTCCCTATCACAGGTGTGCCCCTGCAGGTAAGTGGGAAGAAGAATGAGTGGAGCAAAACCTGGGGGTGCCCAGTGTGCTGGAGACAGGGGCCCTGCCCTCACAAGGTGTGGCCATAGTGCATCCCAGCCCCACAAGAGGAGGAATGGCCCTCCTTGTGAGGCCGTGCTCCTAACAGCCAGGTTTGCTGTCTTTCTGCAGTTACAGTGACCCCAAAATGTGGGTGGCCTTTCTAGGAACACCCTTCCTGAGTGGCACCGATGGCAAAATGGAGAAAATATTCCGTATCTACAAGCACCCTTTTTACAACATCTACAGCCTGGACTATGATGTGGCACTGCTAGAGCTGAGCACACCTGTCAAGTTCAGCAACACCATCAGACCGATTTGTCTCCCAGACAGTTCTCACATCTTCCATGAAGGGGCCAGATGCTTCATCACAGGCTGGGGCTCCACAAAGGAAGGAGGTACTGGTTGAGAGGGCCCCCTCACATCCATGATGGCCACAGTGGCCACCTACCTTGCACACTTCAACACCTACAGTTCCAAACACCACTGTCCCAAGCACTCCCCAGGCCAGGCCGGACCCTGCAGGGAACACCAAGCTGTGCAAGGCCTGGTATCACTACCATCTCCTCCCCTGCCACCATGCACTGTACTCGTCCATTTAGCCACACCTCTGCCCTCTTGGAGCCTTCCCAAGCTTTCTACATGGCAGCCACTACACTCCCCATCCCCACAGCAGCTGCTCCAGCTCTGCTCCTGCAGCACAAGGACCCAGTGCCATTTGTATCTGGTCAGCTGAGCTGCTGGACAAAGTACACACTCAAGGGACCTTTCTGTGCTTGCTCTGCTGGGGAGGAACCAGGCCTGACTGACTTTCCCAGAGCAGGTCTCTCCCTCTGGCCAGCAAGTAAGGCTGCAGAGACCCCACCGCTACACACGCTTCTGCTTCTCACGTGCTCTGCGCCCCTTTAACATCAATACTTGTCTCCTCAGGTCTCATGTCAAAGCATCTGCAAAAAGCAGCAGTGAACATGATCGGAGACCAGGCCTGCAAAAAGTTCTACCCTGTCCAGATCAGCAGCAGGATGGTGTGTGCTGGTTTCCCACAGGGCACCGTCGACAGCTGTTCAGTGAGTGAGAGCAGCAAACACTGCGGCTGGGACAGGGCTGGGACAGAGCAAGTTTGTGCAAAGTCCCCAGGCTATATTCCCTCAGGAGGGCCCTGCCTCCCCCAGCTCAGCTGTCTGTCCATCCCTCATGGCTGTTGCCTTTATCCACGTCCATCCTGCATACACCTCGTGCATACACCGACCCATGACAGGTCAGGGAAACCCACACAGAGGTAATGCCAAGCAAAGGACCACGGGGATGCCTTGGAGCCTATTCCATGATCCTGTTGTACCTCCAAACACACTCTTCCACGTTCCAGAACCCCAACCTCACAATGTTCATGCAGGTACATCACTGAGCAGTCCTCTAGCTTGGAATGTGGCTCCTGGGGAAGTGGGGAGCAGGACAGCAAATGCCCATGTCCCAGAGAGAAAGAACATCTCAAAGCTGGGGGAGCTGGGCTGCCTCTGGCTTGATACTGTACCCTTTTCCTCTCTCTGCAGGGCGATGCAGGCGGGCCCCTGGCATGTAAGGAACCCTCAGGGAAGTGGTTTCTAGCAGGAATCACAAGCTGGGGCTATGGCTGTGCCAGGCCATACTTCCCTGGTGTCTACACCAAAGTCACAGCTGTCCAGGGCTGGATTGCGCAGAACCTCAAGCTCTGAAACTGCATTTCACCACTCAGGGAAGGCAACGAATGAGAGGAGTAACTGCCAGAGGAGGCACTAATCCCTCAGCTGTTGTACATTTTTGTGATGTTGCAAAGGGGTGAAGATGGCCTTGCAGGTATTAAGCACGTGCCAGTGTTGTGTGACCCGCTGGTTGTGACACACCAGGGCATTTGATAACTGCTTTGCATAGAAAGGTACCAATTCTAGACATTTTCCATAAATAAATGAGGCCTGTCCCAATGTAAGACCTGGCCAAACATCCTACGGATTAAAACATGACCTTTCTAGTTGGAGGGGTGCCCGAAACATCTGGCAGATATTCATGGAGTTTGGCTGACCTCTGCCTATGAGCTGTCATCCCAAAGCCAAGCCAAGAGACTGGTGAACTTCGTCCCAGCCCAAAGTTATGCCCTTGCAGAAGCCTCAGACCTCACTGCCTTGATGGAGCTGCTGTGCTGTGCAGTGGCTTTTGGGAAGGGTGTGCTGCTGTTTTCACTCAGTGCCTGAGAGCTCAGTGATGACCTTCTGGCTCACCATTTGATCCCAAGAGAAGACAGGACTGAAACGCTTGGAGTTCAGACTGCAAAGGCCCTGATCTGTACTAGAGGATCAAGACAGGCTTCTCTACACCCTCCATACACCCCCCACCCACCCAACCTCCCCCCAGCTCCTTTTGCACCAGGGAACAGGTGATTAAACTGATTAAGGCATGGTCATACAGACCACTGCTCTGGTTAAGCTAGGTGGGAAAAATTCAGAGTGCTGACATAGGGTGCAAGGATGTAACTCCTTCAGTAGGAGGTCAGGTCCCACCAGCCAGAATATGACAGGCAGACAACTTTGTTCATAAGAAAAAAACTGCTGCAGAGCTCATGTGCCAAGTCTTGGGCAGACTTAGACATCTCCCCATAGATTCAGCCACCAAAACTGAACAGCTGCTTGTACCCCAGACCCCTTCCTCATTTTTGGTGCTTAAGCTCTGCATCTGGGCATAGCAAGAGGTTTCTTCTGTCTCAACCCAGCTGGCAGTGAGATCCACCACCTTCCCAGCCAGCAAGGTGGGAGACCTGGCTTCCAGGCATGGCTGAGCTCCACGTGGGTTCAGATCCATGGCTGCAACACTTGTGGGATGGTCCCATGAATGAAGTGGGATGGGACTGCTGCACAGCCAGTGCCACAAAATTCATACAGCCATAAATAAAAGTAAAAAGGCCCCTAAGCAAACACGGCTGAAAGCACTTTATTTTCAAGTAGTCATTCTGACAATCTAGAAGGGAAACTCCAGTTTCAGTAAGTTCAAATACCCAATTATCTCCTCACTTTACCTTGTGTAAGAACACTTTAGTCCCTTTATAGAAGCCACCACACTGGGAGATTAAATGAAATCAGGTTCTGGCACATCCCTTTGAATGTCCCAGCAGGTATGGAGACAACATCCTTCATCTGTCTCCATGTCCCAGCAAACAGTGAAATCTTTTATAAAATGCAGATCTCCAAAAGGAGGGATTTCAAAAAACCTCTCTCTAGAGACCCAGGCACTGTTAATCTCCAACACTCTCCTCTTGCAGCTGCTGTACCCACTGCTGACTATACAGCATAAACCCAGCTTTTCAGGAG